CTGCAATACTCTTTATACAAATACCATTATGATTATAAATATGAACATTATCAATCTTGCGAATGACGTTACAATGGAAAGTATTAAAATTGACTTTGCAATGTATTTAATTAAAAATCAACGTACATATTTCTATTGCATGTTACGCAATGTTCGCTAGTCATTGTCAGTCGATTTCAGGAAAATGGTACGTAAATTAGAGTGTGAATGTTGTGTGTAAGCTCGGGGTGTCGGAGGCGTCTCGGGACGTCCTCTCTAGTTTAGGTTTCTGCGCCCGAGTGGTATGTATGAGAACCGTGGAGTAAGTGTGTTGGTATGCCTGTTTTGCCATTTTTTAAATATAGGACGACTAGGTAGGATAGGTAGATTATTTTCTGGTATGCCTGTCTTTAATTTTAAGTAGGTAGGGCCGGGCAGGTTGGCACAGTCTTTGGTCGCGTGTTTCCTCTCCGCGTGTCCAACCTGTTTCTGGAAATCTAATTTGAAAGATCGACAGTGAAATTGGTACAGATGGAGCATGCCACTTGTTTCTGGTTTTACTCTTCGATTTTTCGAATTTAGTACCGCGGTCGCGGTCGCGGATAGGTCGCGAATAGGTCACGAAACGCACGTTTATGTAGGTATTGCTCGAGCAGGCACATGCGCATGGACAACGATCATTATGATCTTCCATGTGCAATTGAATCAGTTTTCACGATTTATCTTTCTGTTTTACCTCATTTAATTGACGTTCAGACAATCTCGAGCATAAATATAAGTTTCAGCGGGCATCGCGCTCGAAGAAAGAAGAGGCTAGAAGCCGAAGAGGCCCGGCAAACTGCCATGGAAGAGGGCAACTATTAATGGCTTCCCATCCTCTGGATAATCCAGAGCATGGGTAGTCATTCTTGTTACTATTTTGTCACTATGCTCGCTTTTAGTATTTGTAGTGTAGCAATGGTAGTTGTATTTTGTTTCTCGGCCGACCATCATCTTGGGCAAATCGCGGTCGTTTTGTTAGCGTTGCGATTGAAATTAGTGCCACTTTAAATTAAAATTACAAAATTTCGCGTTTTGAATTATCCAAAGAACGATTGGAGTCAGATTTGTGGAAAAATACTAAATTTGGTTTAAATTAGAATTGCGATGATCGTGTTTTTATTCTAGCGTTGCGAATGAGACATCGCGATTGTTCTTATAATTTTTATTATGAATTATTATAATTTTTTAAAGAATATTATTAAAATTTGTTATATTTTCTCAGAATTCGAATCATTAACTTGCGATCATTTATTAGTAAAAATTATTAAAAATAACTTCTTTCTAGTGAATTAGTGTTGCGATATTCTTCCATCGTGATTTTTCCAATTGTTATCAATGTTCGCGTTTGTTAAACAGTGTTGCGATTACAAAATGCCCAAATTTCTTCCACTGAATTTGTGGAATTACCGTCCATGTTCGTGGCTCACCTGATGCAGCTAAAAAAGCTGCAAGCAGTTTATGTGGTTGCACTTAATTGACTGCATATTTTGATAAAGTCTTAATATGTTGCTGGAAATTTTCTATTGCTTTTGATCTTTTTCACTGTCACAAGCTACAAATGAAGTAATTGATTTTGCAGAAACGATAGAGCATTCTTCGTGATTTGTTTGAAGAATTATTTGAAAGATTTATTTTATTTATTTGAAGAATTCACTAAATTGAGAATGAATTTTTGTAAATTGAAGAGTTCCTTAAATGTTCCACTGACGATTTGCTACTTATGTTTATATTGAATGGATGATCTTCATTCCCAGACTGCCTACATCTGAAAACATTGCTAACAAATATATTTATATATATTTGTAGCAACCTTGCAAAGTGTAATTGAAACAACCTCATCACTGTATCAAAGTATCAAAGTATCATATATACTTTTAATTGTAACAAATTAAAAGTATACATCTTAAGATAGGAGTTAGGGCAAAAAGACACCATAGATACCCTCCACAGTGTATTTGGTGACCTAGATTACAATGAAAATATTAGATATAACATCGATGTACGAGATACTTTTCAATACGTTACTTAAATATCTATGTAAGATATACATATTGTATAGGTAGATGACATAATATTACGACTTCATAATATTCGACTCATTTGCTAACAAACAACATTTAATATGTATTTTTATTTTCTTTTTTCTTTTTTCAATTTTTTCTTTTTTTGTTCTTTTTTTATACACGTAATATTATAACGACAATGATATCTATATATATATTTATATATATATATATATAATATGTCTGCTTTTGTTTGACTCGTATTGTTACAGAACATAATAATAACGCGTGCGTAGTTCGAACGTCACGAAATCTATTCACGGTCTGAGTAAACGATCTTTATCGGGTATTTTTTCTTCAATTTTACACGATAGGCTTGCTTTGTGTATGCATCGACCACGTTCTCTCGACGATTGTCGTAGACCCCCAGTTTCTTCTTTCTCACCGTTAACGAACAATTCAGCGACGAACACTCTCTTCGTCGCGTATGCAATCCTAGAGAGAACGAACGTAGGAACGTAGATGAAGTAGGGGGGAGGGGAAAAA